CATGCTAAACACACACTATCTTATTTAGTTAGCACAACTTTAGATGGAAGGTACAATTATTAGCCCCCTTTTACAGAAGAGGAAACTGAGGTTCAGGGAGGCTAAAGCAGCTAGTAGATGGCAGAGCTGGGATTTAAACCAAGTCTGCCAGATCCCAAAGTCTTTTAACTTTGCCCTCCAGTTTCTGAATCTGGTAATCCCCTCCCCTTCTCCTTCCTTCTTTATCAGATAACTTGAGGCAGAAGAACCTAGATATAATTTTGACCCCCTCACATGAGGGGCCTGAGGCACACAGAAAGGGCACTTGCCCCAGGTCACAGAGCAAGTAAATTGTTCAGCATAGAGGCCCTTTTACTCTTATCCACTCCTCCTTCGAATACCCATCCTGGGTCTTAGAAGGGGCAAATTAGAAGGCTGGGTGGGCTCATGGCATGTATGGGGGCAGACAAGGGTTAACAACTTTCATTTCTTCCCCCTCTGACTTGTTTGCTGGTCAACTTCAATTAGCTGAACTGGAATAAGAGTATAAAAGGCCCACCCCCATTCCACCATGAAACCAGCTTTTTGCGTTCTGGACTGGAGAGAGGTGATGGGGTAGGTGCCAATCCCCTGGGCCTGGTATTCCATGTCCCTGTTTGCTTAGTAGAGGAAAAGCTGTGGGGAAGAGAGAGAGATAGAGGTTTGCCTGGAGGTTAGAAAGGAACAGAAAAAAGAAAGAGAGAAAGAAGCAAGGACAGGAAATTTCAGTGCCTTTGGACATCAAAAGAACTATATGCAAATGAAATGCAAATAAAATGCAAATTATCTCATCCTCCCTCTTACCCCACCCTTTCTGGACAGCTGGAGGACTTATTCAGAGAGTAGCCAAAGCCTTACTCCAGGATGCTGTAGTTCTGAAAGTGATCAGCTCTGAGCCCTCCTCTGGTCCCCCTGGAGTGACATCTAACCCCCTTGGCTGCACCACTAGGGAGTGCACTAGCTCCCTAGGCTCCATTTCTACTTGAGCATATGATCAGCTTCTTTTGCTTCAAGGACAGAGGGCTCTAGGAGTGAAGCCTCCCCTTCTGGACACATTGGCTGGAAATGGCCTACAGCCCTGGAGAGGGTGCTGCAGGAAGGGAGGCAGGCCTGAGCCCCCTGTTCCCCACTTGAGCAGAGAAAAGTGGCCTTCCTGGCTGGAGGCCCTGCTGCTCACTCCCACTTCCTGTCATGTCAGCTGGATTGAGTTGTCAGGGCTGGGAGAAGGGCGGAGAGCTAGGCGTCCTGGAAGGCCACCAAGCAACAAGTCCTTTCTAGCACTTTCCTTCTGCCAGATGAGCTGTGGGGCCCAGAGTGTGGGGGTGCAGAGTCGGGGTCAGCTCCCTGCCTTGGGTCAATCACAGGGAGTGGATCCCAACTCAGGCTTCCCCGAAAAGCAGATGGAAGCAAAGTAGAGGCCAGGAAGGACTTCCAGGCCTGTTTTTAATCACACCTCAGAGTAAATCTGATAGCAGCATTGCCAGGAGGCATTTGCAGAACACAGGGGAAGGGGATTAGTGTCAGGGGACAAAATAAGAGATGTCCTGGGAACCAGGATAAAGCCACCGTGTCTGGGGAGTGGACGGGAGAGGGCATTGGAGTCAGGATCCAGAGTTGTTCCCTGCCCTGTTACCCCTAAAGCTGACTACCACCCCCCACCAGGGACATCCTCCCCTGCCCAGTACCCAGCCTTTACCCACATTGGGGTAGGGGAGAGTACACACACATTCATTACCCATTTTGCATTTAAAGGTTCAGAATAATAGATAATAACAATATGCATTTAATTTAAAGACAGTATAATAACAACTGTCTTCCAATCAACTTTTTTGACCTTGAGGCCAGCACTGGGCCTGGGCTGGACCTCTCTAATCCTACCTTCAACAGACCCCTACCTCAGCCAGTCTTCCTGGCTCTCCCAGCCCACCTCAGTCCAGGTAACCTTCCTGGTCCACCTGCATGCACTCTCAGGGCAAGTCTAGGCTCAGCGCGCCCTCTTGTGGTAATGGGGGGCGTGTGACCCTGACTTTCGCACCCCTACTTGCAAGAGCCTGGAGAGCCCTTCTCACAGGAGGAGCACCCATCCTTGGCTGCAGGAACCGAGGGCCCAGTTCCAGGCAAACTGGAGATGTAGAATTTTAGTTACACAACGCTGTTGGGTCTTCCAGTCTGTGCTCACCCTCAAAGGCCAGACCTCACCATGGAACCTCAGTTGAAGTCAGCCAGCTGTGTTCTGCCCAGTCACTACAGGGACAGGAGCTCCTGGCCTTGTTGGGCTGTTTGTCCCATTGTCCTGTTGCTCGACGGCTCTGCCAGTTATAAGGTCCTGCCTCGTATACTGCCCTCTGGGGCTGCTGAGCTCCATGCCAACCCTACACCCGCGTGTGTTGGGAGATCAGTGGTCATTCATCCCTTCAAAGCTGTATCGAGTACCCCCTGGAGCCGCACGCTGGGCTATGAATGTGGCAGACACTGTCCCTCCCCTAGAAAGCTCACAGTCTGTTGATGCTTGTGGACTAGTGAGCAGGCAAGTCCCTCATCCTGTGGCATGTACCCTAACAGGAAAGCAGGGGGTGCCATGGGCACTGGCTGTGGGGCACACCTTACCCGAATTTTGAGGGCATCAGGAAAGGCTTCTGGGAGGAAAGGATGTCTAAGCTGAGATCCCAGAGAATAGGGGAAAGCAAAGGGAACAACCAGCACGTGCCAGGCAGGTGCGTGGGACATTCAGGGAGCCCCACACAGTACAGGCAGGGACTGAGTACAAAAGAGGTGGACCAGCATGAGTGGGTGAGCGGGACAATAGTCCTACAGGGAGGACCTTGAAGCTACCTGACTTAGACAGGTGGAAATAATTTGCCAGTCTCAGTAGCAGGTGACTTGTGACACACATCACAGCGGATTGCAGCACAGCCTTGAATAGCAGTTCCAAAGTTGGGGATTGCTGGGGAGGAGGGTGCTGGTGAGAAGTTCACCTGGGAAGGGGCAGGGAGCAATAGGGCAAAGGTGCAGAAGGAACTGAGTTTGCGGTATTCTTCATTTTGTTCTTCAGATGGGAAGATCTGAATTGTCTCAGCGCTGTTGGGAAGGAGGCATGAAAGAGAGATGGAAGAGGAAGAGACGGGATAGTTTCCCCTGAGAGGCGCGGCCCAGCCTGAGTGAGGTTGCCGGGGGGCCTGGCACGGCTCTTCTCCTCTCTGGCTTGAAGAGGCACTGGTGAGGGTTAGGTTCGGGCCTTCCTGAGGGCACCTGGCTTGCCTTGGCAAAGGGGCCCAATCAGGAGCATGTTCCTGCCAGCTCTGCTCCCAGGGAGCTTTGGACCCTCTCCTCCCCTACGTACTAAGCGCTTGCTACTACAGGGATTGGTGCGGCCAGTGCTCCGCACACCACGCTGCTCACCCTGCCCAAACCGGGGGCCCCTCCTGCAGGGGAGCTGTGCTCTCTGAGCCTCTAGCTGGTCAACCTGATAAAACCATCTGGGTTAGGAGGCGGCCTGGGGGAAGGAGGTGTGGGAAGAAGGTGGCATGGGGAAGGAAAATCCAGGGTTGATCCCAGCCCTGTTCTGGCGAACTATCCAAACTTGGGCAAGGCACACACTTTTCCAGGTGAGCCACATCCATAGATGTTACAGAATCGCTTGCTATGAGGAGCCCGTGGGCTGATTTGCATGAAGGTGCTTTGTAATCCCCAAAGCTCACAGAGAAAGGAGTACGGATATGACCCCTCCCCGGTGTTCCGACATGGCCATGACGGCCTCCTGAGGATAGGAAAGCCTTATCTCAGTGTTTCCCAAATAGCTGCCCACGTACATCTATTTTAACAAGCTCCCAAGTGATTCCGGTGCACACTAAAACTTGAGAATCTCGGCAGAGAAGCAACCGTCACGGAATTTCGGGCGCTGTGACAGTGGGGTTGAGGGGGTTGGGAGGAGGGTGGTCTATCACGGCCCCTGGCATGTGTTGCCCGGGAGGCAGCTCCTTTGCAGAGTGTAAGCTCAGCCTCCAAGTATCAGGGAAGCTTAATTGTCCTCCCCATCCCCCTAGACCAGGAAAGGGCCCATGGCAGGGACGTCTAGTGATGGTGTCCAGAGCCCCCTCACTGCAGGGGACAGGCAGGCTGGGAGGTGCAAGTCCAGGAAGGTCAGAAAAACACTCCAAGTCTTGAAAACACTGCTTTTTAAAAAAGCATTATTTCGGGTTATTTGGAAGTCAGTAGGGAAGGTATGTGGATTTGGGGACTCCACACCCAACAATAAATGTGCACATGTAGGATGGGAGGTGCCTTCTCCAAGAATCCCCGCCCCCACCTGGGGCTGAGGCTCCAGGCTGGACAGGAGGGGAAGGGGCAAAGGCCAGGGGGAGGGGAGGGACAGCTCCCTCCCCGATCCCCTAGCAAGGCTGAAGCTGGTCCATGAAAACAGGTTTAGAAAGGAGGCACGCCCACCTGAAAAGGACATCTCCCACGACCCTCAGCTTGACCAACGCCAAACAAGCGCAGCTGCCCAAACCCTCTGGCCTACACAGGTTCAAGGGACAGCAGCAGCCTGTTCTGGGGTACTGGGGGCAGAGTAAACCCCTTCTGCCTCCAAGGTCTTTGAGGAAGGATGTGACTCTTCCCATTTCCTCCCCCCTAAGAAAGGGGCCACTTTCCCAGCCTCTGAAACACTGCTGCCTCCACCTTGCCAAGCTGTTACCATCTTTCAACCTCAGCCCACACCCCATCCCTTCCGGGAAGCCTTCCCCAAGAAATGCAGCCTGCACATCCCTCCTCGAACCCTGTGCACCCACCCAGCACTTCCTGTTACAGCCTCTTTATGCTGGAAGATACTTTGGAAGTGAAAAGCCTTCCAGATGTCTGATCTAGTTGTCTCTGGTTTACAGACGTGGGAATGTCGGCTTTTTTCACTAATAGTAACGATACTGACATTGGCTAACACAGCGAGCTCCCACCGTGCACTAGGTACTTGACATGCAAGAATTCACTTAAGTCTCATAACGGAGCTCATTTTATAGATGGGAGAGCTGAGGCACAGAGAGGTAAAGTAACTTGGCCGTGGATTGCACAGCGAGTAAGCAGCAGGGTCTGGATCTGACGCTGGAAGTCTCATTCCAGAGTTGCAATCTCATCTCTTGCCTCCGAGCTGGCTTATTATGCTGACATTTTACTTTATCCTTCCCCAGTGACACTCCTCCCCGGGGCCTCCCCTCTCCTTGCCCTCCCTCAAACGGCTGAGCGCACAGTAGGTGCTTTAGAAGTTGTTGTGCCAAGATAGGGCATGGGGACATTTCTGACACCAGGTGGCAGCATTGGCTAAAAGTTCTCTCCGAACTCCGGGTCTAGCGTTGTCAGTCGAGTAAAAACTTAAACTTTTATTTCTGGTACAAATGATAAATACTTTGCATTAAAAATCTGGGATTCAAGTTTTCCTCATACTTCATGCTCCCTCCCCACCCTAGAAGCTTACAAAAATATTTCTGTTTAGAGGGGGAGAGCTGGTGCCTGCTCTAGAGGCGGAGTCCAGGTCTGGGGCAAGGCACGGTGGTGGGAGGGCCGCACCCCACAGGCGGCCTGGGCAGGGAGAAATGAGAAGAATGTGCCATGATGTGGTGCGGGGGCTGTGTCCCCAACAGCTCCCTCCTGGGGGGGTAAAGATCCCCTCGTTGCTGGGGACAAGGAAGGCGCAGGGGGGCTGTGTGTGGGGAGGTGGGCGTACAGGCACAGACTCCTTTTAGGGTCTAAACCTGGAAGAGTTCCGAGGAAGAATCACGGTCCCCCACATTGCGGCTGCTTGAAAGTGAACACTTGGGGGAGATGAAGGAGGGGAGGGATGCCAGTTTGGAGAGCCCCTTTCTCCCTCTCTGCCCCCAAGGCAGGCACAGGGCGGCAGTGGGGGCTGCCTTCATGAGTGACCCCCTGCCAGGCCACACCCATTTCACAGTCGAGGGAGATGGGGCCAGAGGGGCCCCCCAAGGGCTCGGGCCAGGGCAGTGGGAGGAGGAAGTAAGGCCTCAGGAGGGGTCACCACCCTCTAGTGGCTGGGGGAGGGGCAGTGGGCCCAGAATAGCCACCTCCAGGCCCACCCCTCCCCCCAGCCCAGCTAGGGGTCCTCGTCCCAGAGACACAGCTGCCTCTGGGGCACGTAGAAGTCGAAGCTGTAGCTCTTCTGGCAGCTGCGGATGCCGCACTTGTAGGGCGCAGGCCGGTCGCGGCTGTGGCAGTACTTGAGCATGCAGGGGTACCAGGCCAGGCTCAGGCCGTAGCGGCAGACACAGGGCTTCCCGCGGTCCACGACCTGCCCGCAGCGAGGCAGCTCCGCCCGCTCCGAGGCCTTGGGCAGAGCCTCAAACACGGAGCTGTCCACACCTGGGGGAGAGAGGCGAGGATCAGCGAGGGAGGGAGGAAAGGAGGGACCCGTCCCCTACTTGGCCTCTCCAGTCTTTCAACAGGCATTTATAGACACCTCTGTCCCCATGGCTGCCATGAAGACTCAGGGCTAAGACCTGGCTGCCAGGCTCCTCACCAGGCTGGGGGAGAAACAGATTAAATAACGATGATCCTCACCTATGGAGTCCCAGCTGTGGACTCTACATGCAGCACCTCCTTCTGTCACCCCAGGAGATACTGCCATCCCAGTTTTAGTGATGCAAAAAGTGGCCCAGAGAGGTTTGATGATCTGGCCAAGGCTACACACAGTAAGAGTGGAGTCAGGACTTGAACCCAGGCCTCTCTGACTTCAAGGCCTCCGCTCAGCCACGCTGCCACCCAAAGCTTTTGAAAAAATCACATGCTTAGCTGGATGCGGTGGCTCACGCCTGTAATCCTAGCACTCTGAGAGGCCGAGGTGGGTGGATTGCTCGAGGTCAGGAGTTCAAAACTAGCCTGAGCAAGAGCGAGACCCCATCTCTACTATAAATAGAAAGAAATTAATTGGCCAACTAATATATAGAGAAAAAATGAACCAGGCATGGTGACGCATGCCTGTAGTCCCAGCTACTCGGGAGGCTGAGGCAGGAGGATGGCTTGAGCCCAGGAGTTTGAGGTTGCTGTGAGCTAGACTGAGGCCACGGCACTCACTCTAGTCTGGGCAACAAAGCGAGACTCTGTCTCAAAAAAAAAAAAAATCACATGCTGGCGTGTGCTGAAATAGAAGCGTGGGGAGACGGGGTAGAAAATCAAAGAAGCCTTCTTTAAAAAAAAGCTGATATGTGAGTAGGGCCAGGGCACAAATATGCCCACAGAGGGGGCAGTCAGGGTGGCAGGGCTTGGGGCGGAATGGAGAGTGTGCATGTGAGGCGTGCTGGCAGGGACCTGGCTGGCATGGCTCAGTGGCTGTGGGAAGGACCAGCCACTTTTTGGGGGATGCTCACATCAAACCTGCACCTTGGTGTGGCGTGCAGGTCGCTGGGGAGGCTGTGTGTGCGGAGGGCATGCCTGCAGCTCTGCGGGGCATTTGTAACTCCAGCCCTGCCCCGGGAGGGACAGGCGTTTCTCTAGTGCTCAGCGGGCTGGGCAGAAGGACCAGGGCCTGGAGTTGGAATGGTGACTTATCCCTGTCCCCTCTACACAGAGGACCTGAGGGCAGTCCTGGGAAAGGCCCCCAGAGATGGGCCAGCACTGAAGTCACAGAGCTGGGAGGATTCCTGAGGATCCCAGGGGGAGATGCTGGCAGCTGGCACTGGGCACGGTGTGGAGCTGATTTCTGAGAGGTGGCTGCAGAGGGGGGCAGTGGGGAATGGTGCCTGTGTCCTGCTCCCATGACAGAAGGTCCCATCTCTGTGTCCTCACTAAGGGCAGGGGACGAGAGGAAGTGTCTAGGACTGTCCCTCCACAGGGCCTAGCAGAGTCTATGTGTCCCTGCCTGCAATGGGTCCCTTTCCTCTGGCTGGCTCTTCTCACCCAGCAGCCGCATAGGCCCCACTTCCTCCAGGAAGCCTTCCCTGACCAATCGCAGCCCAGTTTACGGTCCCTCCCCTGACTGCCCTCAGCCTGTCACTGTACTCTACCATGTTTCACTCTACGGACCCACCCCCAGGAACTGGGTGTCTACCTCTCTGATTCCCGGAGACGCACCTCTGCAGGTGCTCAATAAATGCCTCTTGAATGAAAGAGCCACTCAACTATGACCCCCTCCCCTCCTCTTCCCTCTGCCCAGCACCCGCTGACCTTGCTCCAGCCAGAACTGGACGTCCTCCTGGCGGGTGTAGGTGGCATCCACAGCCTCCGCACACACATTGTGGAGATGGGGGCTCAGCAGGCCCCCCTGGCTGAAGTTGACGGCGATGTCCATGTGCAGCTGCTCCAGGCCCCGAACCTCCTCGGCCTGCCGTACCGCGCGTGGGTTTTTCTGTGTGCAGGAGAGGAGCTGTTTCTCCCGGCCTCAGAATGCTCCCTGCCCATCTGCCCCTGACCCCTGACCTTTCCAAGATCCAGGGAACAGAGTCTCTCTGGGAAGGGCAGGCAAAGGGGTGGGGGGAGGGCCCTGCTGGATAGGGTAGGGGGCTTAGATGAGGCTGGGGAGAGGCCCAGGGTCTAGGAAGGGACCAGGAACAGGTCAGCAGGTTTAAGGGTTTTGAACACTATACTGAACACTTTCCACACATTATCTAATTGAATTCTCTCTATACCTATTTTCTCAATAAGAAAATCGAGGCTTTGGAGGCAAGGTAACTTGTCCAGTGTCAGCTGGCTAATGACTGATGGAGGAGATGTCATGCCCCATCCAACTTCAAAGCCCGAGTCCCTAACCTCCGTCCTAAATGGCGGGGAGCTGGGACCAGGGACTGGAGAAATCTGGGGGCTGGGAGTCAGTTGGAGATCTGGGGCTGTGGGGTCAGCTTTAGCCTGCAGCAGAATCAGAGGGCTCAGGGCTCCTGGGGTAAGTGGGTGCCAGGGCTGAGGGCTAAGGTGAGCAGGGGCGATGGGTTCATGAACAGCTTGAGGATGAAGGGCTGGGTAGGGCCAGGATGGCGGCAGGGGTCAGGGCTCAGGGTCAGGAGCGGGGCCGGGGCAGGCCTGGGGCAGACACTCACCTGCCGAAGCTTGGCCATGGCCTCACTGGGGATGATCTCATTGTGGTGCAGACGGGTGACAAAGCAGAGGGCCTGGAACTGACTCTGTCCCTTTTCCAGCTCCCCCAGGATCAGGGCCCGGAAGATCTTCACATCCTGAAGGAGAAGGGCAGGAGGATAGGGACCAGCTGAAGGGAGCAGGGCTTTCCTGCCAGCTTGTGGTGCTCAGCCTGGACACCTGGACGCTGCCTGGCAACACACACCTCCCCCCCGCTGGTCTAGGAATTTTTATCTTTTCTATTTAAACCCCTGACTTAAAAGAACACACCCCAGGTATTCCAAAGCCTCCTAGAAAAGTGATAAAATGGAGAATTGTTCAAGAGAACCCTTCAGAAGTACAAATCTTCACCTTGCAGAATACAGCACCTCTTTTGGCAGCTTGTTTATTGATAGCTGACAACTCCCCTCCGTGGAGTCCCCTGATGTCACCTTCATGTGGTGGGGGAGGATCTGGGCCTCTACAACCGCCTGAGCAGCGTGTGATGCTGGAGGGGCTGCATTCCCAAGTTAAGTCCCTCTCTGACATTTTGACTCAGTACATTTGAGGAGAGGCCTCAAGATGCCCCCGGCTGCCCACCTCTGCTGCCTGGGCTAGTGGGGGCAGGGCGGGGTTAAGGGCAAGGGCAGCAGGCTGGCTGCAGCTGTTGCCGCCTTCCGAGGGCTGGATGACTCAGTTTCCCCTTTCCCTCCCCACTTCCCCTTCCCCTGTGGGGTTACTAATGGCAGTGCCCCAAGCCCAAGGGCTCCTTCCTGTTACTGACTCACCGCGTGACGGGGGAATCCTGACCGGGGCAGAGGGAGAAGGGCCCAGGGTGGGATGGGGCCCCTTCCCAACCTGGGGGCTGGAACCCTGTGCTCCACCCACCTGTACTGCTCACCACGGCCCCACGGCGCCAGATGCACCCCCACCTTCTCAGCCATCTCTGCGCCTTGGCTAACTCTGTTCATCTATCAGTGCACGTGTCCCCGCCCCCGCCCCCGCTAAGAGAGCCCCATCCACTGAGTGCCTGCTGTGCACCTGCTAGAGTGGGAGAGGCTTGAGAACAGGGTCTGAGTGTCCCCCTTAGGGTCCAGAGACAGGAAGCCAGAGGCCCATGGCTCCACCGCAAAGCTGCAATGGATTAGCTGGTGCCCGGCTTTTCCCAACTTCTCTCCTCTGTAAAACAGCGCTGATTACACATTTCCCTGACAGGGTTGTGGTGAGGACTGGGTAGGTTATTTGGAAGAATGTTCGCACAGAGCTCAGTAAGTGCTGGCTGTGATGCCTGTTGTAGGTGATCCCCAACACATGAGTGCCTGTCATCTCATAAACCCTCACGTATCTCTGCAGTCCCTTAACTCTACAAGGAAGTTTCTCTTACTTCCTTTTGCTGTGAATGATCTCTGGAATAATGTGGTGTTGGGAGTGTATGGGGAGATTTTCCAGAAAGGGAAACTGAGGCCAAGCTAGTGAGAAAGGTTCCACTGAGTTCCTTATGATCCCAGGGACTAGTGAGGAAGGCGAATCAAAGCTCGTGTTAATCTTGCTTCCTCTCAAGAGGAAATCCCTTCTCGGTCACGATGCTGGAATCTCCTTGTCCCGCCAGCCTGGGCTATCTGATCTTTCACTCAAGCTGGCTGAGGGAGGCTGGTCTGCTTCTAGCATATTCCATTCCGGGCTCAGTTCCTGCCAGGTGAGACTTGACACCAGACTTCCCCTGCTAGAGCTTGAGTCAGGCGATGTCCCTGGCAGGAGCCCACAGGCAGAATTCAGAATACTTCCCCGGTATTTCAGCTCTGATTCTTTGGAAAGAACCTTCTCTGGATATCCGCAGCATCTTCTATGACACCATGGGAACATGCAATAATATCCTGCAGTCTTGCAGCTGGGAGGGGTCTCACTGCTTGGTGATGTCACCTGCCTACCATTAGCAGGAGAAGGTATCTGAACTTTTAAACCAGACCAGAGGGTGAAAGGATTCTGAGCTTTTCCCCTGCTTCTATTAATATATTAAATGACAATGACAACAACAAAATGCTACCGAAATGGGAAATCAGGGGTGCAGAAAGGTACTGAGACTTTCTCATTGAGATAGATTTCCTCTGTTTCTCCAATCTGTGTAGGCCAAGAGTTATTGAAGTTTCTAACTAGAAGAGACAAATCATTGTTATCATGGGTCCAAAAAGAATGTGTGATCCTATTTAAGATCCTGACGACAACAGGAGGTAGGAACTATGATTGTTACTGAGCTTGGATTGGGTAACTTGTTCAAGGTCAGGGACTAAGAGGAAAAACAGCCGGGATGTCAACGCAGGCCGTCTGACTCAAACCCGAGCTCTCATAACCAGAATGCACAACTGTCTTCTAGATCAACTAGTCTAATTCCTTTGATGTTCAGTTAAAGAAACTGGAACTCAGGCACATAGAATGTGGCCTGCCCATGGCCCCTTGCTAGCCAGTGGCAGAGGCAGGATTAGAACTTGGTTCCCTTTTCCAACCATGCCTGTCTGGTGGCAGTCTCCCAGTGAATCCTCTGTATACCTGCCCCAAGAATGTGGTGGCTCCAGCTCATGTTCCTGTGACTAACAACCGGCATGACACAAATAAGGGAAGAATCCTTCCAACCCCCCTGCCTGCCTTGCCAAGAGCCTCTCTAATTCTCCAGTCTTTTTCATCCCACTTCTCCAGAAAACCACATCCCACTTGCTGACCCCTAAGAGGGACCCCTAGTTTCTGGATCTAACTATTTGGTGACAGGGCTCTATCGTCCTGACCATGTTCCTCCAACTAACTTTCTATTCCCTGCACCTTGGACTCACTAGAAAGGTTCCACGACCCCCTTTTCCTCCAGCCTTCCTCTGGCCAGATGCTAAGTCCTGGTCAGATGGAAGCCTGGCTTCCAGCCTTCCTTCTTGCCCAGGAGTCCCTTGGGATGATCCCCTGATGTGGCCTAGAGCCCAAAGCAGTTGGCAGAGCTGGGGAAGAACCCACGGCAGGGAGTGGAGGCAGCTTATCAGGCTGAGACTCACAGGACTCCCAGATGGGAGGTTTCTGTAAGGGTGGGAGGTTTCCTTTCTCCCATGAGCTCCCAGGAACCTCCCACCCACCACGAGCAGCCCACCAGAAGAACCGGAGCACACAGCAACCAGAGGGTGTGGCAAATGTGTCAGGGAGATAGTGTTTGCTAAAGTCCTTGTCTGCAGCTGTAAGTGAGCAGTAAGTAAGTAAGGAGTAGCCTCCAGGATAGCACAGTCATTAAGAACAATGGCTCTGGAGCCAGTATTACCTGCATTGAGATCCTGGCTTTGCCACTACTGGCCACATAACCTTGGGGGAGTTTACATAACCTCTCTGTACCTTATTTTCCACATATGCAAAATGAGTTAAACAACAGTACCTACCTTGAGGGACTGTTGTGAGGAATAAATGAGTGAAAGGTCTCAGAACATAATGGGTTGAACTCTCAGTTTCTCTCCTCTTGCTGCAATGCCTGGCCCTGTGTCTGCCTTGCTCCAACTGGAGTGTACTCCAGACCAAAGAGGCAGGAGCAAAGATTTTTCTCCTATAGATGCACCTGAGGCCCAGACAGGGCTTGCAGGTAATCAGCCAATCAGTCAGAGAGCACGGATTGGCATTATTGGGAGGTAGGGCCTTCACACGCACTGGGCTGGGCAGGGGGTTGGCCAAAGCCAAGACAAAGGCCCTTGTCTTTAAGGGGCTCACATGGAAGACAGACTTCTGACAACCAAAGTCAGCACACCACAATAGTGCCGTGAGCTGTCCTTTATGCTAAGTGCTGTGGAGGCCAAGGATGGACGAGGAAGCACTTGTCCCTAAGGATGGGGCTGGGGGTGGAGTGAGGGACATTTTAGTTGTCCTGACAATTAAAGGATAGAGGGCTTTCCAGCAAAGAGAGAGGCATTTACAAAAGACAGGGAGGCAAAAGGGTCTCCTAAAGCCCCCATCCAATCATCCCTCCATGGTACTGTCATCTGATGACCTTATGACCTTCAAGGGCTCCCTCTGTCCTCCTCATAAAGTGTACCCCCAGAGCCTGGCACCCCAGGTCCCTGCCCACAGCAACTCTCACACTCCCCATGCACTGAATTGAAGAGCCTGCAGTTCCTGAAATGAGAGACGCCATGTCTCCCCTTGTGCCTTTCCACGGGCAAAATCCTCTGCCGGGATGCCTTGTGCCCCTCCGTCTACCATCCTTTAGGGCTCGGTTCCCATGTACCCCTCTCCTCTGGCAGTCCTCCCCAACCCTCCCACAGAGGTGGCCAGTCCCAGCCACAGCCTCTAGAGCAGTGTCCCCAACCTTTTTGGCACCAGGCACCAGTTTCATGGAAGACAATTTTTCCATGGACGAGGGTTGGGGGATTGGGGTGTCATAGGTGGGGGGAGGGGAGGGGTGTTGTGCAGAGCTCAGGCAGTGATGCGAAGCCTATTTCCTAACAGGCTATAGACAGGTACTGGGCCGTGGCCCAGCGACTGGGGACTGCAGCTCTAGAGCACGAGTCCCACTATGTTCACCATGATCTCTTTACTTGTCTTTCCTTCCCGACTCGAGTCCTTGATGCTGGGATAGTGTCTTATTTGCAGTGTATCCCTGCCCCCCTCCGTCACAGCAGGTGTTCGATAAATGCCTGATAATGAATAAACAGAGGAAGAGTGAACCAACGAGAGCATGGAAGGGCTTTTCTGAGAAAAGTGACAGGAGTGTAGCAGGGGAGGGACACAGCGGAGGGCAACGAGTGGCTGAATAAAAGGCTGGCAAGAGGGCCAGGACACAGCAGGACACAGGGTCTGAGTGCCCAGGCTGAGGAGTCTGAGCTTCATCTTGCACACCACTGGAAGTCATCGGTGGGTTGGAGCTTGGGGGTGACATGAACAGATCTGCGGTTTAGAGCTGAATCAGACTCTGCTTGAGGCTGTGCCCAGGCAAGTGTGCATCAGATCTAAATGTCCAGGCAGGGGGCCCCTGTCCTCACTGGGCACCTTTCATCCAGGCAACAAGTTTTCCAGGCCCTCTGTGACCTCCCCCTGGCTCATTCATGCAATAGCCCCAGGGCTTGGCACTCAGCTGGGGCTCAGCACTTAGTAGCCAGGTGAATGA